CCTAGTATATAGCATAGCATACATGAGACTACCTATGGCTGAAGCATAGAGTATCCCATGCATTCGCTCATGCTCCTGATCAGTCTTTGGACTCATATCTTTTGAAAGATGAATTTCGTGACTGCAAGGCAAAATTCCCTTTTTGGAATCTTGCATGCCGAACGGTTTTAGCATCTTTTCTATATACATCTTCTGGGATAAGCTTATTAATCCTTTCATTCTATCTCTATAGATACGAATTCCTAGGATGTAGGTTGCCTCTCCTAAGTCTTTCATTGAGAAAGTTTCGGATAACCACAACTTAACTTTAGTCATCATCCCAATGTCATTTCCCATCAATAGTATGTCATCTACTGATAAGAGTGTAATTTACATATTTTTATTCCTTGCATATTATGTTTTTTGTCATGTTTTATGCCTATTTGAGTTTATTAGAGTTTATTTTGTGAGTTTGGCATAGTTGGATAGACTTTAGGAAATAAGTGATAAAAGATTAGGAAATTCCAGATTTTTGTTATTCTGACCGGTGCTACGTTTTTCAGGTTTTTCATGGAGTTAGATTTCTCGATTGCAAAAGTGTTCTTTAGAAAAAGTAAAGTTGACGAATCAAACTTTCCAGGAAGGTATTATAGGCGAGAATCCGAGTTCGTTTGGGTCTTCATTAGTTGTTGGAAAACCGGACCTGGAATCCTAGTCGCGGAAGGATTTCCTGGCTGAGTATTGAATCTTCGAACGGGCCTAACTGGAGCGTTAGATATTGAAAGCGGGTGATTCAAAAGCCCAGATTCATATACACATCCTGGAATACAATTTTTATGAAGTGACCAAGCCCAGAAAAGATCTTTTACATTGCGAGAATCCTGGTGCAAGGTGGAGATGAATTCTGTTTTCCATATCTGATAAGATTTTGACAAATCTGGAAGTCTATCTTCTAGGAAACGTCTAGGAAAGAAATTCTGTGATTCTTGGGGTAGAATTAAGGAAAAAAAATTTTATTTATTGATGAGTGGTGAGGTTAAAAAGGGGGGGAAGAAGAGACAACAGTAGTTTCTAGTTTTTTCGGCTTTCTTTTACTTTCTACGTCAAGATGTGAGGCTGATCTTTCTTTTTCAGTTCAAGGGGATTTTGACGCCTAAATTCATGTCATTGGTGTAACCTAACTTCAGTAACATTATTCTTAATCTCGTTTTTATTGGAATTGTTTATGTTATTCTGTTTTAATTGTTTATAATTTTTTGTTTGGGTGATTTAGTAATGGCCAGCTGAATTATTTTATTGGAATTTTATCTGTTAGAATTAGGAATTATGATCTGTAATTGTCCTTTTTCTATTCAATGGGTAACACATGATGATAGATGATTATGGACAAGTTTTCATTCTGTCATCTTGAATAACATAACCTAAGTTAAATAATTTGAGCTTTTGTGATTGTTTCTTAGATTGATCTATTTTCCTAATTCTTAAGGCTGCCATTGAATTAAACTTAGAGAGCTTATTCTAGGTTGTTCGAGGGTTAGGATCTACTTGAAGAGCTTATTTCAGTAGTGACGATTAAGGGAGAATTCGAGTAACAGAGCTTGTTGTTTCCTAGGGTCAGTAGTTCCATAATAACGAGATAGAACAATGTTATGGTTAGTTCATGTCCAATGCATGTTTAGGTGGATCTTGAACCGAGAACTGATTGCTTTTAATCTGATATTTTCTACCATTGTTTGTTTTACTTTAGTTTGCCTTGATTACAAACCCCTTTCATTACTCTGTTGTGTTGTCCTGTTCACTGTTTAGGGTTTTATTGTGTTGTTTTCATTGTGGCTATTGGCATAGAATATAGGATTTAATCGAATCATTCCCTGTGGGATCGACCCTTGCTCACCCTATATACAATTTAGTAGTTAGGTTAGTAAGGTTAATTAATTTGGTGCATTCGGCACGCTACCATCTACATACAGTATGAGAAATATGGTTGCATGATCCTTTGTCCATTTATAAACATAGGGATCATCCAGATTCTTTATAAAACCAAACGTTTTGATTATTTCATCAAACCAGATGTTCCAGCTTCTAGAAGCTTGTTTTAACCCATAAATTGATTTATGCAGCTTGCACACTTTATTTCTTTTAGAACTGGATACAAAACCTATAGGTTGTTGTATGTAGATATTTTCCTCAATAAATCCATTGAGGAATGTTGTTTTGACATCCATTTGCCATATCTCATAATCATAGTGTGCATCTATGGCAACCATAATTCTGATTGATTTAAGAATATCGACTGGTGAGAAAGTTTCCTCATAATCCAACCCTTGTTTTTTAGTATAACCTTTCGCAACTAGTCTTGTTTTATAGGTCTTTACATTTCCATCTTTGCCAATCTTTCTCTTGAAGATCCATTTACATCCAATAGGAACTATTCCTTCTGGAGGATCAATGAGAGTCCATACTTGATTAGCATGCATGGATTCTATCTTAGAATTCATAACTTCTAGCCATTTTCCAGAATCAATATCTAATATCGCTTCTTCATAACTTCTAGGATCATCCCTGTGACTGACTTCTCCAATCATGATAGATTCAAAAATCTCTTCATGAAGTAACCCATATCTTTCTGGAGGTCGAGATACTCTACATGATTTACGGATCAAAACTGATTCAGGTATTAATGTTTCCTGAGAGGGATCACCCATGTGAGTATTTTCAGTCTGAGGCTCCTTGAACTCTTCCTGGAGCACAATTTTTCTTCTTGCACCACTCTCTTCTAAGAACTCTTTCTCAAGAAAGTGTGCATTCCTACTGATCGAAATTCGTTGATCAGTGTGGAAGTAAAAATAATATCCCAAACTATTTTTGGGATACCTTACAAACCGACCATTCTCAGATCTAACGTCCAACTTGTCTATCCTGACAATCTTGATATAAGCTAGACAACCCCAAATTCTCATATATTTGAGACTAGGAGGTTTACCATACCACATCTCATATGGTGTCATCTCAATAGATTTAGATGGTACCCTATTCAGAATATGCACAGTGGATTCAAGGGCAAATCGCCTTAGTGACGTTGGGAAGTCTGTAAAACTTACCATAGACCGTACCATATCCAATAAAGTACGGTTCCTCCTTTCGGACACACTGTTATGTTACAGCGTATACGGGGGAGTCAATTGGGATATTATACCATTCTCCTTTAGAAAATCTCGAAATTCTGTACTTAAGTATTCACCACCATGATTTGATCGCAGAGTCTTAATACTCTTTCCGGTCTGTTTCTCTACTTCATTCTTAAACTCTTTGAACTTTTCAAATGTTTTAGATTTGTATTTCATTAAATACAAATACCCATACCTAGAATAATCATCGGTAAAGGTAATGAAGTATTGAAAACCTCCTCGAGCCATTTCATTAAATGGTCCGCATACATCTGAATGTACAACCTATAATAATTCTTTGGATCTTTCCCTTTTACCCTTAAAGGGCGATTTGGTTATTTTTCCTTGAAGATAGGATTCACAAGTTGGATAGGGTTCTGATCCCAATAGGCTTAAAAGCCCATTTGCTTCTAACCTGATTATCCTTTTATCTCCTATATGACCTAATCGATGATGCCAAAGTAATTTTGGATTAATTTCATTTCGAGATTTCTTATTTGTAATGGTATTAATTATGTCATAATCATTCGATACCAAAACATACAAACCATTTGTGTTAATTGCTTTGCCAACTAATTCATTTCCAAAATAAATTAGACATTCATTTCCATTAAACTGTATTTTGTAACCAGATTTACACAAAATAGAAATAGAAATGAAGTTTCTAGTTGTTTTGGAAAAATACAAAGTTCTGTACAAATACAAAATGTGTCTTGATGGCAATGTCAAATGGCAAGTCCTTACTGCCTTGGCCGCAACTTTTGCTCCATTTGCCATTTTGAAAATGACTTCACCTTTTAACAGTGAAGAACTATTCTGTAGTGCCTGCAATGAAACACAAATATGAGATATAGCAGCTGAATCTAATATCCAAGAATGATCATTTGAACTAACATTTAATTCAAATTCTATAACATAAGAATGGAACATACTTGCTTGAGCTTTCTTAAAGCTCTCCAGAAAAAGAGGACAATTCCTCTTCCAATGTCCTGTTAGGAAACGACCCGGTTGCGCAGCGGAAAAACAAAAATTTACAACCATGGATCGTTCCTTAGAACCCAAAATCAGGGCATAGAAAGTTACAGTTTATATTTATAAGAATCTGCAGAAAAATAAATCCAAAGATTTAGATTCATACCCACGTTTGGAGGCTCCACTAATGTTGTCTCTGAATGTGTTTGCTACCGATCCAAGTGTAGGATCGAACCNTTTGGAATAATTTCATTTCGAGATCTCTTATTTGTAATGGTATTAATTATGTTATAATCATTCATTACCAAAACATATAAACCATTTGTATTAATTGTTTTGCCAACTAATTCATTTCCAAAATAAATTAGACATTCATTTCCATTAAACTGTATTTTGTAACCAGATTTACATAAAACAGAAATAGAAATGAGATTTCTAGTTGCTTTGGCAAAATACAAAGTTTTGTACAAATACAAAATGTGTCTTGATGGCAATGTCAAACGGCAAGTCCCTACTGCCTCGGTCGTAACTTTTGCTCTATTTGCCATCTTCAAAATGACTTCACCTTTTAATAGTGCAGAACTATTCTGCAGTGCCTGCAATGAAACACAAATGTGAGATGTAGCAGCTAAATCTAATATCCAGGAATGATCATTTGAAATAACATTTAATTCATATTCTATAACATAAGAATGGAACATACCTGTTGGAGCTTTCTTCGAGCTCTTCAGATAAAGAGGACAATTCCTCTTCCAATGTCCATCTTTCTTGCAGTGGAAAACACTGGCCTTTATTGACCTTTTCTTTGCCCTTCTTAGTCTTAGAAGCATCCTTCGTAAAAGGCCTTTTCCATGGTCCAACTTTTGGACCTTTCTTTTGCTTTCATTGCTTCTTATTAGTCTTACTGGAAGAAGCTGCAAAAACATCCTCTTGCCCTTTTTCCTTTCTTCCCTGCTTATAGAACTGTTGAATCTCATTCGACAGTTTTGCAAGAGTGCGCTCAATCCTATTGAGATTATAAGTTGTGATGAAGGGCTTGAAACTTGGTGGAAGAGATTGTAGAATCAAATTCACCTCGAGACTGTGTGGCATCACAATCTCAAGTGTATGCAATTGCCCTATAATATTGCTCATTTTCATAACATGATCATCTGAGGCAAGTCCGTCCCTAAGCCTCATTGTGAATAGTTTCAAACACAATTCGTATTGCTTTACCTCTGAGTTCTCACCATATTGTAAATGGATCATTATCTCATTCGCACTTTCCATCTTTTCATGCTCAACCTGGAGCTTAGCATTCATTGATGCTAGCATGTAGGTACGAGCTCGTAAGTCATCCTCCTGCCACTTATTGAAAACTTCCTTTTCTTGTGGTGTGGCATCAGGAGGCAAAGAAAGTGGAAGGGGTGCTTCTAAGACATACGCAACCTTTTCGGAATTGAGAATAATTCTCAAATTCCTTAACCAATTATTAAAATTAGGTCCAATCAGCTCGTTGTCATTGAGAATCCTCAAAAGCAGGTTATTGCTCATTTTCATTAACTAAATATCACAAAATACCGAAAGAGACTACAAGGAAAAATATAAGTTTTATTAGTGTCTTGTAAATTTAAACCCTTTAATGCTAATCTTATTACCTCCCACTATTTTATTCAAATCCCATACTCCCCTAAATGACGATTTGGAAATTTCGATGGAATAAATTTCTTGTGGAGAATCAAATTCTTATTAAATTTAATTAAACCTCACATAATAGAAATCTTGGTTAATTAAATTTAACAAGTAGGAAACTATTTCCTTTTATATCACTATATAAGGTATGATTCATTCTTTGCCCTAGTTTTTGATACCACACATAATAGAAATCTTGGGATCTCTAATTTTATGCCAAAGAATTAATTGGCCCATAATGGAAGGCTTGGATCTAATATTGTTCGTTAGGGAGATTATTAGGTTTAACCTTTGATTAAAAATGTTCTACATTTATCACATACATTAATTCAAATGCATCAATATAAATATAAAACATGGTGGGATGATCATGGGGTTTTTGAAAATACATCCTAAGTAGGTAAACTATTCACCTAATTCTATTACTCATTGCGGACCTTCATCTGGTGATTGATCGGATCTCCATCCTCCGTCCGGTCGTACGATTACATAAACCAATTTAGGACACACAGGCTCGGATAACATACTAATAATAAAATTAATTATTATTACAAGCCATTGAAAGAATATTACATGCCCAAATATCAAATATTTTTGGGAAAAAAAATTATAAACCCATGATCATCCCCTAATTAATATTCATCCATCACATTAATAAATATTAATTCAATAAAGGTCATATAAATAAATATTTTAGCAAGTTGCAATATTTATAAATAAAGGACTTCATGTAATAAATACATAAAAACATGCTATGATTGAACAAAGGGTACATGCATAATTCTACTACCCTTAAACTTATAATATCATTATATTATCCATCACATGAATATAAAGAAATATATATATCCTAAGGATTTCATGCAATAAATGTATAAAATATGCCATGATTAAACCAAGGGTAGGTACATAATTTCATCACCATAATATTTATAAAAAAAATATTATATTACCCATCATATTAAAAAACCTCTCACATCACATTCAATCAAATAAAATTAAAATTGCAAACCTATGCATCATGATGCACCGATTTTTACTTGAATCAACATCCAAAAAGAAAACATGTGATGAGCAAAGAATTAATCTAGCATGCATATCACCTTAATCCATTCTACCTTCATTTAATCAACATTAACCATCATAAAAAAAACTTAAACAAAAATTAAGATCATCATTATTTAATCAAAGTGAATCAACCAACTTGTATTCAAAATACAATCCAACTCAAATGCATTTATAGACTATTACATCATATATAACATCTCAAACATGCATTTGAAGTACATTATGCATCCATATAATGTTTGGCCGAATTCATCCTTTTCAAAGTCATCAAAGTTGCATCAAACGTGCTTACATTACACATGCATGTATCATATGAATGAGATATATTCATATTTAACAAAAATGCTTCAAGATGCAATAAATCAAACATGCATGTTACATATGACTTCAAGAACAAGAAATTTTGTATTCTAAATATCAAAATTTCATAGAAGCATGTTAATAAGGATGAATATCATCATCAGTTGTATTCAAAATACACAATAACTTCAACATGCATCTAAAGCCAAAACATATTCGTGTCCAAACCAAGCCATTTTTCACCAAAAATGCTACATGCATGCATGAATTTAAACATGCTCTGATACCATTGTTGGGATTCATGCATTTTGGACATGGAAATGGAGAGAAAATGATGATCAAATGATGGATACATAAGGTAGAACACAAACACAACATCAATGACAATTTTTCAAACAAAAAGAATAGTATATTACCTACTTCTTTGCTATTAAATGCTTGATGTTGAAATTTGGAGTCTAGATTCTTCAAAAGAGAATGAAGAAAGTCAAAATGAAATCCACCCAAGCCAAAGATGAGAGAGAGCTGAAGCCGAGAGAGTGGGAGTGCTTTTGTTTTCAATTGTTGCAATTGAATTAAAATGGTTTAATACTTAATTTATATACCATGGGCAGAAAGTGTAATTTTAAATTGTCTTGGGAAGTCCTCAAACAATTTAAAATTAATCTTGGAAAATAGCATTTATGTTAAGTCCTTGGTTTTATGGTTAATTCATAATTAACCCAAATTTTAATCCTATTAATTAGTCTAACTCTTTAGAATAAAACCAATGCACTTTTGTCCCCATTATTGAATCTGATTCAATAATAATATTTAATAAAATCTTATTACCCTTGGTTAGTGCTAGCTATCCATGGATAGTCATTTCTCACCATGTAATGCCCACATGGATGTACGTAATTTAATTTATGCTCTTATACTTTTAGTTGATTTTTGCTAAAGTTATTTTGAGAAAATGTGAAGAAAATGCTTTACACTTGCATTAAGGGTAAAATGGTCTTTTCACTCAAAATTAGTTGAAATTGTGGGGAGTGAAAAGAGATAGAATTTCATGGAGAATGCAATAAAATTAGGGCATTATGGTAATTGACTAAGGGACATAGATGGAATTTTAGAGAAAGTGCCAGGGCAAAATGGGAACACATGCTTATATTAATTGATATAAGACTTTATTTGAAGAAACCCTAACCCATATCCAGCCCTTGTTCATGCCACTCTACCCCATTTTTCTCTCAATTTTCTTCACTAACTTCAAAGGAAAATCANAAGTTTACGAGAATAGAAAAGAAATTAGAGATATACAAGAAAAGAACAGAAATTAGATACATGCTAGAAAAGAACAAAAATTATAAACATGAAAAATAGCAAGGAAACTTAGCAATTTGTTGAGTAGAGAAAGAAACAGAAAGTTATAATCTAGCGGAGAAGAGAAATAAAATGATAAAGAATAGCCTAGCACTAGGAGGATTTAGAAAGATTTGAAAAAAAACAGAAGACTGCTAAGTAGTACGCTTGAGAATAAAGAGAGAAAGCAAGCATAAATTTAGAAGCAGTACATCGAAAACGGGGACAGCGGAGTAAGAGCATAGTTAGATTTGGTTTACTTACTGAGCATTTATAGCTAACCCCGTTGCTTTCTTTATTTTTTCAGGTATTGGATTGTAGTGGTTGGGAGACATCAAGTTGGCGAGAGGATTGCACACACTGTCTCAGTGAAGAAATTTAATGTGGGTTTATATATGTGAGAAATAATCTTTGTGTAATAGTATGTTATAACTGGATTAACGATAAAAAAATTTAGACGAACACCCTTTTTAGGCTAGCAATTCTCTGGATTCTCTCTATAGGATACTCAGTAAATACTTCCCTAGTGAGACATTACAGGCCACCTGATAGATTCAGATTCAGCGAAACAGCTTGCCTATCAATGATATGGTTACCGTGCAAATTGATCCTTTCATCACCTGTTATCTCATCAAGGCTGAGGTATAGAAATAGTGTCAACCCAAGTTATCTTTGACATCATTGCATTCAGTTACTGGACTAATGACCAGAATAATAAATTGGATTGAGCAACAATTCAATCCCACTATGGCCACAACTTTAGTGTCATTGCCATTCATTGTAATGCCCACATAAAGGTATGTAATTTAATATATGCTCTTATACCTTTAGTTGATTTTTGCTAAAGTTATTTTGAGAAAATGTGAAGAAAATGCTTTAAACTTGCATTAAGGATAAAATTGTATTTTCACTCAAAATTAGTTGAAACTGTGGGGAGTGAAAAGAGATAGAATTTCATGGAGAATGCAATAAAATGAAAGCATTATGGTAATTGACTAAGGGACATAGATGGAATTTTAGAATAAGTGCAAGGGCAAAATGGGAACACATACTTATATTAATTGATATAAGGCTTTATTTGAAGAAACCCTAACCCATATCCAGCCCTTGTTCACGCCACTTTACCCCATTTTTCTCTCAATTTTCTTCACTAACTTCAAAGGAAAATCATAGGATTTGGTCTAGATTTTTAGAGATTTTCAATCTTCAAGCATCCTAAGGTAAAATTCTAGCAAAAGGAGTGAGATTTAGGTTTTAAATTCTTATGGTTTTTATATGATTTAGGCCTAAGAGGAAGAGATTTGGAGAAAAAGGGAAGTGATCTCACATATTCAAGATAAGTAAACCTACTTTGAAACTTAATTTGAGCAAAACATGTGTTGAATGAGTTTTTGCATGTTTATATGTGATGGTATGAGAGAATTATGGGCTGTTTTTTATGTTTATTGATGTATTAATTCTAGCCATGAGAAGTAGTGTATGGTTATGTGATGATTTGGTGAAGTTGTGGAAGATTTTGTGTTGAAATTTTTGAAGTGTAGAGAATTGTGAAAATGGACAGGTTTGATGCTAATATTAGTGATTTTTTGGCTCACAATTTGGTTTAATTAAAGAATTGTGAAAGGGTAGCCAACAAGGTAGTTGCATGTGCATATGAAGTGTTTGATGAAAATCCAAAAAGAAATTGCATGCATGAGTTGGCTAAACCCTAATGAGGAAAGGGTTAGAGAAAGGCAAGACTTGAAGTTTGAATGTATATTATTGATCTTTTAACTTGTTTTCACAGGGGAGAATGGTTAGGAAAGGTTAGGGAGTAAGTGGAGGTAAATAGGTATGGAAAAGCCTTAAAGTAGGCATGTTACCAAGGTTGCCCTGTCAAATCCATGACCTTCTGAGTGATTTTTGGGAATCTTAGCTATTGAACTGGGTTGCATAATACACATAAAAGTTGTAGCCATTTCTCTAATCTTTAAAATGAGACCAAGATCATAGCAATCTGATGTGTATAACTGGAGATATGCCTTCTTGAATATGACATGTGCAGAATGACTATCTCAAGAGTGCTTCCACTTTATTAGTTTATTTGTAGTCTAATAATCTATAATTGATTCCAAGTAAGAAAATGATGCTTAAAGGGTTGTGAAGCATGT